AAACGTCATTTAGAACTGCTAAACTTTTATATTTTATACAGATATTCAAAATATTTGATGAATCATTAAAGATATATAATATTTTACTATCTTCCATACTTAATATCATACTTATGTTGTCTTTATTACTACATATTCATAAATATATTCAAATTTAAAGGAGTGATCTTCGTATATAGTTTCCTCTGAACTTTCTAGCTTTCGAACATGTGACACTTTTAGTGAGACAGAGAATTCATAAAAAATGAGACTTTCATAACAACAAATGAAACTATTCTAAGTTTCAAAAACCAACTTACAATACAACCAGATGTTTCAACTTACATCTCACCTGATTCTCTAACTACAAAAAATTTTGTAAAGATTTGGTTGTCCAGCGTTAGGCATAAAGCTACTATACAATACTATAAAGCCTGTACCAAAACCTGAACTTTAGTGTTATAAGCCCTGAGACTTATTACTGAGCCACCAGGGGATGGCCTTTGTAAAGAATTGGTTATTTACTTTACTAAGATAATCTCACTTAACTATTACTTATTAGTTGGATTTCAAGACACCATTCTTTCACTGTAACAGCAACAATGACATCGTCAGTAAATATTTTACATGTCAATACTCTAATATATATTTTGCCACTTACCCCTGTTGAAGGAAAGTCAACTTCTGAAAATGCTTTTGTTGATTTTCTGTCACAAAATTTTAAAATTACAAATGTCTATTATTTAAATAAAATTCTTTTTTTTACTAGTCTATCAATATATTTTTGGTAAGTACTTCTTTCCAAACATAAAAAAATCGTGTTACTCAGGCCAACTTCAAACTCTTAACTGTTTTTAAGCTAATTTTTTTGATAAAAATTCCAAATTCAAAGCATTAGAAGTTAAACACATGATCTGGAGACCATGTTACTGGTCAAGCTAAATTTTATCCTTCAAAATCAAAAATCAGTAATTTATTCATAGCCTTATTATTGTAGATATAATTTTGAAACACTTATACACACATGCAAGAAAAATATTGTATTTTTTCCCATCTAAATATCCCCTTCACCCCAAATCAAAAACATGATCTACCAAAACAGTGCCTTACAAAAGTATTCATCCCCTACCAATAATGTCACATTTTGATGAAATACAAACAATTTTTAATGAACTTGCTTTATTCAAATCTCCAATGATCAAACTTAACACTGTTATGTGTGAAGGAAATTGAATGTCAGCAAAACTTGCCAAAAAAAATACATAATTTGGAATTTGCTGATTACATAAGTATTCAGCCCCCTAAGTCAGTTATTGCAATTACCGCTGTGAGTCTTTTTGGATAGGTCTCTACCAGCTTTGCACAATGGGATAGTTTAATTTTTGCCTATTCTTCCTGGCAAAATTGCTCAAATTCTGACATGTGCGTTGGGGATCGTTGATGGATTGCAATCTTCAAGTCTCGTCATAACTTTTCTTTTGGATTCAAGTCAGGACTTTGACTAGGCCATTCCAAGACATTCAGATTCTTATTTTGAAATCACTCCAATGTGGCTTTGACATTTTGCTTTGGGTCGTTTTCCTAATGAAATGTGAATTTTCGAGCCAGTTTTAGATTCTTGGCTGACTCAAGCAGGTTTTCCTCTAGGATTCGCTTGTACTTTGCACCATCCATCTTGCCCTCAATCCTAACAAGCTTCTCAGTACCTCCTGATGCGAAGCATCTCCATAACATGATGCTGCCACCATCATGTTTGACAGTTGGGATGGTGTTGACTGGGTGATGTGCTGTGTTGGGCTTGCGCCAGACATAAAGCTTTGAACTTAGACCCAAAAACTCAGTTTTTGTCTCGCCTGACCACAAAACCTTCTGACACATGTCTGCAGTATCAATTACGATATTTAAGATGATTCTTTTTAAGTAATGGCTTCTTTCTTGCCACTCGCCCATACAGGCCAGCTATGTGTAGGAACCAGGATATTGTCGATGTATGAACACTGACTCCCATCTCAGACATGGAACTTTGCAAATCTTTCAAAATCACTGTTGGCTTTACAGTGGCATCCCTAACTAGTTTCCTGCTTACCCAGCTACTTAGTTTGAAAGGGCGACCTGATCTGGGTAGGGACTGGGTGGTATGAAGCACATTCCACTTCTTAATGAGGGACTTCACCATACTCAAGGGGACAGTCACCAACTTTGAAATGTTCTTGAAACTTTCTCCTGATTTGTGCTTCTCTGCCACTTTATCGTTGATTTGTTTGGAAATCTCCTTGGTCTTCATGGTTGGTTTGTCGTATCACTATATGAATTGTGGCTTCAACAGATGCATTTCCTCCGAAGTTAAGTTAAACCACTTTAATTACACACAGAGAAAGACCATTTCATTAATTTTGTGACCTTTCAAACTAATCTTTTGCACCTGAACTGATTTAGAGTTGTCATAGCAAAGGGTTTGAATACTTATGCAATTGAGAATATTATAATTTTCTTTGAAAATCTAACTTACTTACATAATATGCACTACCGGCACTTGTGATTAAAATGTTTTAAATTATAATAAATAATTAAAAACTTTATTGAAGCTGTACGGCTTCCACTTGAAAATATCGCTCTACACGTACATGTAAGGAGTAACTTACAAGACTATTTTATACTTTCCCCTTGTCGCATTACTTCATTGTTATTTACATATTTTCTTAGTGTAATTGAAAAAATAAATAAATAAAAATTATAATATATCTCGCCATATATCAATGTATTAACTTGCTGGTCCTTCATCTCTATTTAATTCTTGTTTTTACATTTCATTATTTCTAATGTTTCCCTAATATTTAATGATATTGTTACGTATCTCCTTGTTTGATAATTTCCCGTAAAATTTCTTTCCGAGAAACTTCAGCGATACAAGTCCTTTCTTAATTAAAACTAGTTTATTCTTTCTCGTTACAACTTTGCAATACACTTAATTTCCACAATCACTTTAAAATTAACTACTTTTATAAACACTCGCTATAATTCACAGCGATTCAAACACTTTACTTACGGTGCCTACTGCTTGCTTGACTCGATTTATTTCTCTTCAATCTATCTCCGGCTTGTATGCTAAAAAAAAGGAGGGCGCCAAGAACAGACTAGAGTTGCCAGGAAAAGTCAAGATCCTTCGAGAATCTCATGACGTGTTACCAGCGTCACGTGACTTTCGCTGTCGTACAAT